TTATGATAAAAAGAGATTATGCATTTTTAACTAGGATTCAAAACCTGATCAGTTCAAAACCGGACAATTTTTTTTAATAATAGATACAATTTAATGCTATTTAATAATAAAAAAAAATTTAAATGACTAAGTTGTATTAAATGATCATTTTCATGTCAATTTTTATTTATTTTGGAATTAATTTTATATATAATAGATAGATAGATAGATAGATAGATAGATAATAAACGCTGTTCTTTTGAACTTTCTATTCATCTGTGAATCCTGAAAAATAAAATGTATCACAGTTTCCACATGTGTGAGAGTGTGTGAGTGTGTGAGAGAGTGTGTGTGGGGTTGAGAGATCTGTAGACATGCAGAAGCAATAGACAGATACTTCGGTGATCTATAGCTAAAAATCATCAGCCTCGGTGTTGAATATTTATGGATTTGCACTGAAATGCAAATAATTCTCAAACAGTGCTTTTTTTATGAATTTAGATGCTTTTATTCAAAGCAACTTACAATATAGGAACAAAAGCAATTTGTCAAACAGCAACAATATTCATGATATACAATGAGAGGCTTATTATGATAAAAAAAGATTATGCATTTTTAACTAGGATTCAAAACCTGATCAATTCAAAACCGGACAATTTTTTTTAATAATAGATACAATTTAATGCTATTTAATGATAAAAAAAAATTTCAATGACTAAGTTGTATTAAATGATCATTTTCATGTCAATTTGTATTTATTTTGGAATTAATTTTATATATAATAGATAGATAATAAACGCTGTTCTTTTGAACTTTCTATTCATCTGTGAATCCTGAAAAATAAAATGTATCTGTGTGTGTGTGTGTGTGTGTGTGTGTGCAAAAATTTGCCAAAAAAAACAAATTTTTTTTTTTTTTAATTATTTTTGGGCTAATATGATACTCTGTTGTCCGTCCCATTTGATCTAAGGATATATTTTGATATTTTTTATATATATGAACAACACTGAAATATGAATGTGTGTTTCAGCTAATAATGCATGAAAATACATTGAATATGCTCATTCTGACAATAGTTTAAAACAAGACCGAAACAAAAAAATAAGAGTTGTAGCTTCATGAACGACCAAATTAAAGATTGCTTTCTTAATGTTATTTTTAAATATACAAATGAGGCATTATCTAATTAAATATGCATGCATTTTGCATAAATTACCAGAGCAGAATCTGAACATTAAAGCCAGGTTCAAAATGGTTTCATTTTCTGTTTTCTGGGTTATTAAATGATTTTTTTTTGCTACTGTAACAATGACTAAATGTACAGAGGTTAAAAATGAAACTGTCGTGGTCCGAAAGCGTTTGCGCTGTTAGACGTCCATCACATACAGTATGACCATAACTCTTCATCTGCCATATTAACTTCACACTGAGATCAGTCAGTCAGTCATGAGGCGTTATTTATAGTATCAGTTAATTTCTCTGATCATTTACAGCTCATTCACTCTCTTTATCATCATTTGTCCATTACTGCACTGACTGTTCATAATCTACAGGCTTTTAAAACACTTTTAAAATACACAAACTACATGCTCTAGGTCTTTTGTTAGGACTGCAGCAACTTGTTGAAGTCAAATTGAAGTCAAAGTTTAATTATTCAGTTAATTGTTGAAATAATCCACAGATTATCAGAGTAGTTGTTAGTTCCAGCCCTGTTACCTTACAGATCCATGTACTTCATGAGAGTGGTCTTTATATAAACAAGTTGAGTATTTAAGAATTTAAAAAAGAGAGAAAGAGTATTAGTATTTTACTTAAAATCTTTGTTAATAAAATAAAAAAATGATTAATAATGATATACATTATTAGTAATGTTATATAAAATATAAAAAAAATATTATTGCTTTTAAAAAATATTAAAATATATATAAATTAATAGTAGTATTACTTAATTATGTAATTATATATTTTAAATTGGTTAATTTATTATTGATAAGTTACTATTTTTTTTATTATTAGTAAATTATTAAATTAATTGTGTGTGTTTGCTAATTAGTAATAATAGTATTTAACTTAAATAACTTTTTAAAAAACAATGTGTAATTAATATGATATATTATTGAATTATCATTAATTTGATAATCATTATTCATTCATTATTAGTTCATTATTTGATAAATAATAGGCCTATAGTGCAGAATCTGAAATATATCCTATTTAGTTCTAACATTGTTTTTGTTTATCAACATTTCTGAATCTTTGTGTATTTCCAGGTGTACGTTTTAAATCCCAGATTTCTGAGTTTGAGCTGAATTCAGTCGTGTTGTTTTCCGTGTGTCGCAGGGAACAGCCCATCTTCAGCACTCGAGCTCATGTGTTCCAGATCGATCCTGCCACCAAACGCAACTGGATCCCGGCCAGCAAGCATGCGGTCACCGTCTCCTTCTTCTACGACGCCAACAGACACGCCTATCGCATCCTCAGCGTGGGCGGGACCAAGGTGAGCGAGCGGCTTCTCCGCTTTACAGCTGCAAATGTTGTCTTTATCTTGCATAATAAAAACAAATAGAAATACAGAGTAGGCAACATTTACATTTATGCATTTGAAAGATGTGTTTATAGTGCATATAGTGTATGAAACCTTTTTTAAATGTATTTAATTCAATTCAAGTTTATTTGTATAGCGCTTTTCGCGATACAAATCGTTGCAAAGCAGCTTTACAGAAAATGTAATGAAAACTAATTGAATCTCAGTGATACTAAAATTACACTGAAACAAATTCAATTTTAGATGTAAAGCTCTACAGAAGTCAACTGTCATTATTCAGCTCAATCCAGTTCTATAATCCATTGCAACATTCATCAATTATGAAAATAGTGTGATAATATTGCTGAAAATTATTTTGACATTTGGATCTTTTTACAATAATTATTTAGTCAAGAGGGAGGTTGTAGGTGATGTCAATTCATTTTTATTCACACTGGAAATGGAAATTCAATGGAGTGCATTGCATAGTGCGACACTGTATAGCAGCTTTACAGAAAATGAAGTTTCTACAATATATTTAGTATATTTACAATACAGATCATTTCAGAGCAACTTAACATTAATAAATAAGCGTTGATTTTGTAAAATTCATCAATTATGAAACAAATTCAGTGTCTTCTGTAGAGCTGCTTTACAGCTGAAAATAGTGTCATAATTCAGATCAATTTAGATTCAATTTAATTCAATAACAGTGTCAGTGTTGCAAAGGTTATTAATTATGAAACAAACCAGGGTTATTATAATTACCTAAAATTAAAACCATACATTTTTTTTGTTAATTCAGATAAAATAAATGTTAACTGAAATAAAATAAAAACGAATTAAGCAAGTTCTCATTTTAATTTAGTTTAACTTGATGTACTAAAATAACTAAA